TTTAGTGATATTAGTAAGTAATTATAACCTTTATATATATATATATATATATATATATATATTTCCCTTGAAGAAAAAAGGTGAAGTGCTTTCTATAAAATTACTCAATAGGTAAACTTGAAAACCAACTTCCATACCGAATCATAAGCACTCTATAAGTGCCCAAAAAAGTAACATCTAAAAAAAGATAATCCAATTTTTGGATCTGTGTTCAATTAAAATCCAAACTTGCTTTTTCAAAATGGTGCTGCTTGTATAGAACCGAGGCTCTAAACAATCAAAATAAAGCGCACTTTCAAATAGTGTCAAGAAATGTGGTTTTCATATTGGAAATGTTTGTGATAGCCTTGAATAATATTTTCATATTTAATTATAAAATTTAAAGCTTAAAAATAATGCAAGTCGAATAAATTTATGAAAACTTTAAAATCTTGAAAATTAACTGTCCAAAAATACATTACAAGATGCATTATTACTATTTTAAAAACTTGGAATATGTCGAGAAAATCAATTTGAAGAAGCATCAAAACAATCTCTTCGAGTGAAACTTTGAGGTGGGCGCTAATTTGATTGTTTAGAGCCTCAGCTCTATATAAACTTTTTCCTTTGCAAAATACTCATGGTCATTCTAAAGTTTATCCCGAGAATTCCACATGAACTTCCCTTCTTTTTTTTCAAGTTCCCCCGAGGGAGTAACAGTATCTAGGCGCTCAATTAAATATGTAAATATTCCATGCTGGCTTTCTTACCTAGCACCACCCGTCTGATGCAACAATGGACGACTAAGATTGTAATTCCTCCCTCAAAGGTCCATAGAAAATATTAGCAAATTGTAGCACCAACCATCATTTTTTTAATTTGACGGTTAGGCAGGTGCTAGCAAAATGTAGGAAACAGGACGACAGCAGTGTCTACAATCTCTACTTTTAATGTGTGTAGGTCACTAGAGTTGGAAGCTCGTATATTTTTGCTGCATTTCTATATCGATACCATCATGCCACATTACTACTTTCCATTAAATATCGGTAAAGTTTTAGATGTGACTCTACCCACATTTTATATAATCCAAACCCTCAGCCGTTAGATTTAAGTAGATGGTTGGGATGACTTGAATCACAATGTCACAAGTTGAATATCAATCTTGATACGACGGTTAAGGGTGTTTTATTTTGCAACAAAATTTGGGACATACATATATCTAACAGAGAGCACATGATAAAAAAAACATATTTTTCTGGATAAAAAATTACCAAAATAATACTAAAATTTTTTGAGGTATTTTGATCATTTATTTTTTACCAAAAATGTCTTAATTTTTTCTAGGTGCAACCCAATAAGAAAATGGGACACCCCATATTTCCTAAAAAAATATTTTATCAAAAAATAATTAAAAATCAAACAGTATTTTGACGTGATATTGTGACATGAACTATCCAAGCTATTCATTCCCATCAAACGACTGAGAAATGAGGTCTGCAGATGAATTTATGGGTATCGTCGTCACATAAAAAGCTTTCCCATAAAAAGTGGTCTCAAATGGGAGAAGATTGGATTATTTATGAGCTGCATCAGCTAATGGTATCACTAAAAAAAAAGAACCTGGAAATGAAAATTTCTATTACAATCATTTAGCACAAGACCTTGTATCAAGAAAACATTCCCTTTCAGATATCATTTACAAAGACTCATGGGAATATCAATAAGACAAAATAGGAGTTCATTATTAATTGGTTATTAAGGAAAAGATGGGTTTGAAGGGAAAATCCCAATGGTGTAGTTAACGATTAAAGCCCAAAAGGTGTAGATTTTCATAAAGAAAATCCTGTTTTCCTTTTTTTAGCTAATTCCTTTTATTTGTCCCATTTCATAAACAAAATTAAGAGAGAGAGAGAAGGCATCAAACATGTGAAATCAGAAACCAAATAACATCTTTATATCTAATACTTCTACCCATTGGACTGGATGAGTTCAGGGAAATTTATCAAAATATATATAACTTATCAACTATTTAACATTTTACTCAATTTCAACGATTCTATCACATAATGATATATATATTTTAGCCAGCTTTTTCAAATTAATATAAAAAATGGGCAAATTGATATATAATCCAACTGTACATTTTGATAAATATCCCTCGACAAAAGAGACGGAGTGTGAAACCTAAGCCTAATACTGCAGCTCATAACCTACAAGCAACCAAGTTATCTCCATCTTGGTTAGCAGGTTTACAACTGACAAGGAAACCCATTGAAATTTCCTGGCTGCCAAACCTAAGCCACATAGGGTGATACTCAATTTCCCCATTTCTTAAAAACACTCATTTTGCAAGCTTCGAATACTAGTTTGCACACCGGGGGGGAGGGGGGAGGGGGGTGGGAGGAGAGAGAGAGAGAGAGAGAGAGAGTTGGTTTGACATAAATGAAATGATACTCTCCGAGCCCAACCAAAAATTTAAGGAAATGAAATGACAATCTTCAGTCGAATCAAAATAATTGAGGGAAATGAAATGATACACATAAATACATGGCACTCATATTACCGCATGCTGCCACCCAACCGCCGCGAAAGAGGTGGTTGACAGAGAACTAGGCACCACCCAACCATAGATAATAGAGCTGCTATTCCATGATATATTTTCTTCAGAAATCAGATTATAATTACAGAATAATGCATCATGGTTAATATGTTGGGCTCACCTGATCTCTCTTACAATTGTGTCCGACCCTTTCCCAAGCTGCTTCGTGCCAGGTACATGGAATTGCTTGTATGTTTGAGCCGACAGAATTAGCAAACAGTGGAAAAAAGGAAGCTCAGACAAAATGAACTAAGATGAACTAAGAAAAGAATGACGAGTAAAACTCATCTAAATAAATAAATATCACAGGTCCCAAAACTAGCATTGAATTTGAAGGACTAAAATACATTATTCACTTAAAAAGAATTCATAGACCTATGATGAAGTATCTGACTCCATTCTCACCACAGGATAGGGGCATAAATCCCACCTTTTTTTTTTTTAAGAATGGCCTGGTGCCTTGGCAGTAGTATTGCTGAGCCCCATGGTGAGGTCTTTGAGTCCATTCTCACCAAAGGGTAGGGGCTCAAATCTCCACTGACATCGCACTTTAACTCACCCAAAAAAAAAGATCTATCCATGCCCATCCAAATGAATCTCTCTCCTGACCACCCCCTCTCAACCTCAATTATTTAGGATATGTTTTTCAAGCTAATTCCATTTGTGCTCCCCAAAAGGTGTAAAGGCAAACTGATTCTCATATAATGGCAAGACTACAAGACTTCATACCATTCATTTAAGCAAAGGAGCATAAGGTGCAGGACATGGAGATGTAGTTTGATCTGGTAGCTGTTCTATTAGCTCATCCACGGCCTGAAGACATGCATTGAGCATCCTCTTTTCCAGCCTTATAAGCTGAGTTGCAACCCTTCTCTTTGGATCCACATTGCTCTCTGACAACTGATACATCACAAAGTGGAACATATTAAGAACAACCATTTGCGGGTTTCACGAGAGAGAGAGAGAGAGAGAGAGAGAGAGAGAGAGAGAGAGAGAGAGAGAGAGAGAGAGAGAG